TAGTCTGGTATCAGAAGGCTGGACCTTGCACCAATCTGTAAAAGCTCACATCTGGAGAGCAGCAGTACAGTGTGTGGACTCTGGTCTGATAGATACGGGTTTGAGTCTGTTCTGCAATTTATTAGCTCAGGTAAGTTAATATTCCTCTCAGACCTTCAGTTTTCTCCTCTGTGAAATGGGAATTGTAAGTTTACTATTTCCCTCACAAGCGGTTGTGAGGATTACATGAGATAATACACCGAAAGCATCTGTCGGAGGCCTTGAAAAATGCTAAGCACTGCAATATCTTAATGATTCTAATCAGCCATTATTCATTAGTCATTGCCATGTGTTAGGCATTTTGGATAAAAAATCAATACAAAGCATCTAGTTATGAGATCTGTAACTACATTCAACGATTATCCACTTAACATCTTCTGTGTGCCATGTATTGTTAGAAGTAGATAAATAAATGCAAATAAAATGATTGACAAATCCTGCTCTCATGGAGTGGGGTCATTATTGTAACATCTGTTATGGTCTCCGTATTTCAGTACATTCCTCCATGGTTCTCTCGAGAATCCTAGAGCAGTGATTCTCAAACTGTAGTTTGGGTCAGCATAAGAATCAGACTGGAGTGTTCTGGTTTCAATACACTTTTCCAAGCCCTAGAGACTCAGATGAAGTAGGGGCTCAGGAATGTGCATGTTAACAAGCCCTCGGCTGGTGCTGACCCTTGGAGCTGCCATGTCACTTTGGGGAACGCTGCCCTGCCGCCCTCTCCCTGCAACTCATGTCTGTATTTGCCCTTTCGGAACTCTGCCCATCAACAGCTCTCTGTCAGGAAGTTGTCAATAGAATTTTCTCTTTTGGGTTCCCCTCATGTATTTTGTCTTGATAGACAGGATGACACCAGGAGTAGAACTGTGAGAAAGAAATGGTCAGACTTAAGTTTGTTTCTGTCTCTTAAACTGTGTGAGCTGGGACAACTCACTGAATTGCAGAAACTTTCATTCATCAAGAAGATGATGCCTGCACATGTTTTTTTTCTTTTTTTAACATCTTTATTGGAGTATAATTGCTCTACAATGGTGTGTTCGTTTCTGCTTTATAACAAAGTGAATCAGCTATACATATACATATGTTCCCATATCTCCTCCCTCTTGCGTCTCCCTCCCACCCTCCCTATCCCACCCCTCTAGGTGGTCACAAAGCACCGAGCTGATCTCCCTGTGCTATGCGGCTGCTTCCCACTAGCTATTTATTTTACATTTGGTAGTGTATATATGTCCATGCCACTCTCTCACTTTGTCTCAGCTTACCCTTCCCCCTCCCCATGTCCTCAAGTCCATTCTCTACGTCTGCGTCTTTATTCCTGTCCTGCCCCTAGGTTCTTCAGAACCATTTTTTTTTTTAGATTCCATATATATGTGTTAGCATATGGTATTTGTTTTTCTCTTTCTGACTGACTTCACTCTGTATGACAGACTCTTGCACATCTGTTTATCAAGTTTGTTTTAAGCCTTAAATGAAGTGATGGACATACAAGCATTTTATGAACTTATATAAAATATACTGTTATTATTAAAGAGAAGGAAAACCTGTTGCCAAGATTGAGCTCACTTTGGCATATGCAGATTATTCATCTATTGGGTTATGTATCATAATTGGGGAAGAAATAAATATTTGATCTCTGCCAATGACTCCTGCTCTCCCTTGACACCCTCTACTCACACTTTCGGTGAATAATTGCTTTATGGCTTAAACTTTGTGAAGGATGTTTTAGGGACTCTGGTCTTAGTAGCATCTGCAGCCAAGAAGCTGATATGTGTTGTTTAATGTCAAGATCTTGAAACTTGTTTGTTTTGGTAAATGAAGCTATATTGAAGGGGCTTTTTTTTTTTTTTTTTTCCTCTCCTTAAAGCAGGCACTCTGTTAAATTCTTACTGGCATTCCTTTGAGTCTTTTGCTCAAAGCAAAATGGTTGTTTCATTTATAGACTTATAATTAGAGAATTCATTTATTTGTGGAAGTTTTTGCTGTGAGCAAGCAGAGGGACTCTACGTGTTTATCACAAGGATATCCTGGCTGGCCCCAGTTTGCTTTGCAACTTGAATATGGATGCTTTGAATTGCCCATGACATGTGAGAGAGTGGCAAAGCTTCCAAAACTTTTCTCAGGTGGTGTATGCAGTAGCTGTTCACGAGTAGGTTCATTTTACTTTTTTTTTTTTTTTTTTTTTTGCGGTATGAGGGCCTCTCACTGTTGTGGCCTCTCCCGTTGCGGAGCACAGGCTCCGGACGCGCAGGCTTAGCAGCCATGGCTCATGGGCCCAGCCGCTCCACGGCATGTGGGATCCTCCCGGACCGGGGTACGAACCCGTGTCCCCTGCATCGGCAGGCGGACTCTCAACTACTGTGCCACCAGGGAAGCCCTCATTTTACCTTTTGAAGGAAAAAAATGTTTTCTCACACTTCTTTGTCTTCAGCTAAACCACAAACTGGTGAGGAAAAAACACATCTCGCTTACCCATACTTTCGTGCTCTGTAAAGTGATATATAAATTTCCCAAAGAATATGTTTTGAGGGACAGATAAGCAAATTGAACTGTAAATACTGAGTTCTTTCTCTAGACTTTCATGTGCTATCTCACCTTAGATATAAATATGTTTTTAAAAAATTGCTGATACTGATAAGTGGCATCCTTGTTGGGTGTTTGCAAAACTGATGTTACTCTGGGTGGAGTTTTAAATATTTAATCTGAGGATTTAAGCAGATTGTTTGGTGACTCTTTTGGCCCGTGGTAAAATGTCTTCCAGGACAGTGTTAAGCCTGGTATCAGTAATTTCTAAAACTTTCTCTGTCCAGGTCTAACTTGTGGATTCTAGGACTTCCAGAGTTTCTGAACACCCCTGATATCTGAGACTGTCCAATGTACAACAAAAGAGGCTTAATTATAGTGTATTTTCAGCTGACTCACAGTATAGAAAGAATTCCATTGTGTTCTTTGGAGTCTTTTATATTTATCCTACATTCATGTTTGCATGACACTTGAATGAAAAAAACAAAAACATTTTGCAGAGGCCAGTTCAGTCAAAGGGCTGAATGGGCCAAGGCCAGGCCACACCAGCTCCCTATGTCCTGCCATCATGAATCATGAGTCGTGGCCTCTGGCCAAAGTGTTTAATATTAGCACTTCTTTCACACATGAAGGGGAGGAAGCAGAGCTAGCATTTGTTGAACATGTCATAAGGGCCGGGCTCCGGGCTAGCTATCTTGCTGTCTTTGTTTCCTCAATTAACCAGTTCAGTGATGTGTCCAACATCTCCCATGCCTCACTGTCTTAGACTTTTACTCTGATCATCCCAAACCTTAATTCTCTCCATTACTTGGATCTTACCAATTATTTCTCAAGAAGCACAGAACCATACTTTTTCTTTCTTTTTTTACCCATTAACGATCATGCAATTTATTTCTTGCTTTTTACCAAGAATTTAAGGTGATTTCTAAAATAATGCACAATACATCAAGACATACATTGCAAATGGGCAAGGAAGACAGAATAAAGTGGAAAGGGAAGCACAGGCCTGAGGTGATCTATGAGTCCTTTCCATGTTTACTCCCTTTGCCAGCAGAGGAAGTGGCCTTTCCGCCACAGCCACGCCCAAGCGACTCTTTGTGTCAGACCAGTAAGAATACTGCACAGGCTACATTAAGGGCAGGCCAAGTTTCTCTTTGGTTTTCTCAAAACCCATGCATTTTATTGTATAGAAAAAAAGCACAGCTGGCTTTAGCTTTAGAAAACAAGCAATCATAAAATATACAAACGTATTCAGCATATATTTTTGTGTCCTAGGTTATGCCAGACGCCCATCATTTTGGCCACTCTAACAGCCCAGAGAGGTTGGCTGTGTGCTCTCACTCCTGAACGTGTGAGAACAGTCAGGTTGGAAAAGGGAGACTGATTTACCTAAGGCCCCCCTCCAAGCCAGGAATTATGTGGAGTTGGGCCATGATTCCTGTCTTCTGATTTCTAATCAGTGTTGACTCTTCACGGGGATTATGTCTGCTAAATTAGAAGTATGTGTAAACTAAAATTTGCTCATTTAACGCATTCATTTGCTTTCTCTCGACGGTCTTCATTTCTAATTAATTTACAATAGTGGCACATGGGGGTGGTGGCTGCCTTAACTGCAGTGAGAAGCAACAGCTGACACCAAGGGAGGTTTGCTCAGCAATCCGCACGGGATAATCCCTACAGTTTAGGGTCAACTCCAAAACAGCCCCACACCCTCATTGGCTCCAGAGGGTCTCAACCCTAATGGAGCCCAGAACGATTATTACATTTGTTACGACGACCTCACATGATCCAGAACAGCTTCATTTATGTTTAGTAGATTATACTTAAGAAGGCAATGGAGCTCTTTAAGAATCTAACCAATCAACTATACTTCAATAAAATTAAAAAAAAAATAAAAGAATCTAACCAGACTCACACGTTCGACACTGCATTGCCCCACCTGAGGTTAACAGAGATGGACAGGAGTGAGCCGAGTGGTACATTCAAGTATCTAGATGGACCAGAAACTTGATAAGAGATGCAAAGAAATAGTATATCTGTTTAAGCAACATGCACTGAAATAGAAGATCTAGTATAGAAACATATATTAAATTTGTCTTTTGCATTTAATTACATGTAGAAGTGAGGACATACTCATTTCTGCCTTTGAAGCAGAAGTGGGAACTAAAAATGTTTTAGGCTATTAAAAATATATTTTGTAAAGGGTTTTTTTTTTGCATTTATACTCTAGAGAGGATTGTGTCCAGGTTTGTGTCTATCTATAAATGTGCAGTGAACTATACTGTCCACTTAGTATAAAAACAAGCAAATAATTAGCTAAATGTACCTGTGCTGTGATATGGTGCATCTAAAAGTGTGTAAAAAGTGAGGATGTGGGAGGACTTCCCTGGTGGCACAGTGGTTAAGAATCCAGCTGCCAATGCAGGGGACACGGGTTTGAGCCCTGGTTGGGGAAGATCCCACATGTCACGGAGCAACTAAGCCTGTGCACCACAACTACTGAGGCTGTGCTCTAGAGCCCGCGAGACACCTACTGAGCCCACGCACCACAACTACGGAAGCCTGCATGTTTAGAACCCATGCTCGGCAACAAGAGAAGCCACTGCAGTGAGAAGCCCGCACACTGCAGCTAGGGAAAGCCCGTGAGCGGCAATGAAGACCCAAAGCAGACAAAAATAAATAAATTAGTTAATTAAAAAAAAAATTGAGGTTGTGGGAAATATTTTTTAGTAGCTTTTCCCCCCCAGTTTTTTAAAATGAGAAAAATGACTTTTAGCATAAATAGCATTTAAAAGTCATTTCGAGCACTGACAAAACAAAATGTTTGTTTACATCTTAAGGCATATATCCATTTTCTCTTGATATAGAGAAAATAGGTATTTTTTTAAATATTTCTGAAAAATGTTTTGGATATGAAATAGATGTATAAAATTTTGTTCTGAATGAATTTTTTTCCTATCTAACATGGGAAAGTATTGGTCTAAACATGAATCATGTTGTGTTGATTAAAGAGGATGAAGAGAGACAGAAAATATATTCACCTTCTGAAAATTTAGTAGGTGTTTCCAAAATAACAGGCTGATGTCAGTTTCTTATCCTCTTCTCCCTATATGTTTATTCACTAATGCTTGTATGTAAGCCATTGTGTAAATCACCTGTATAACGACCTTGCCTTTCCCTTGGCCTTCATCCCCTGTGTTTCAGGTGGGCCAGCCATGAGAGGGTACCTTGTGGCCATCTTCCTGAGTGCTGTCTTCCTCTATTACGTGCTGCATTGTATATTGTGGGGAACAAATGCCTATGGGTAAGTTTTATTTTTGCTGTTTAAAAATGACTACCAAACTGGTCTTTCACATAGACCTGCAAATGATATTAGAGGGACCTATTAAAAAAAAGAAAAACAAACAAACAAAAAACAAACCCTGTAACACTTTAAACCTTTTCTAGCTTTTCCATTATAAATTGGAGTTTCACCATTCTAGTATCTTATACCTTACATCTAACAGTTTAAATATTGATAAACAACAACATCTTTTTATTGACTTTTCAGTGAAGCAGTGGTGTTGACCATCTTTGGGACATCACATTCTTATTTATATAATTCATCTTTTTGAATTGATGGAGTAATTCTTAGACTCAGTGGCACTTGATACTTAGAGTCTAAAATGCTTGGATAAGAGACTGTTGATAAAATGTAGACACTACATATGGTTCCTTTTGTTTAAAAATATTTGGTGAATAATGATGTATGTACAATTTGAAATGACTTTGACTTGAAATGTCACATATAAAATTTGAAGAGGCACAGGTAGTTTTATTAAAGAGAAAACTTCTATAATAAGATTTTTATCATTTTTCCTTTTTTTTTCTATTTTGAAAAGTACTTAGTTTGAATAAATTAATTGCAAATAAAAAAGTAGCTACAGTTTATAGCCTGAATAGAAATGACTAGAATAAATACCACACAGGACTTGATTTCCTTGCGTTCATCACAAAGCATGTGACGATCTAGAAAACTTCAAAATCAATTATATTTCTTTGAAAAAGGAGTAACAGCAGTTACTGATACATCACAACTCGTCAACTTATAATACAAGCTTCCTGACATGCATTTCCTGAGTGAACCCAAATGATCATTTTTTCAAACAAGGAAATTTTGACAAGTTGAAGTAAAGTAAAATAGTTCATGGCTTCTAAGCAACAGGTTTTGTTTTTTAAAAACCAAAAGAAAATTCAGAACCACATTGTAATAGGATAAATAAAAGCTATGCTACTACATACAAAATTTTGCTAGAGTCAATTGAGTATAACACAACTTTTTGAACCAAAGGAAAACAAATCAAGAGATTAAAAACATGATTCTGTCTAATCTAAAAGAAATCTACTGATTTCTACAAGTGTCACAAGGGTTTGAGGTAGTGCAACTGTCTGTACTTTCCCTGTGGTATGTTTAAAAAAAGGGGGTGGGGTAGGGGGAGGGGAGAGGAAATGTTTTCTTGCTTCTGAAAGCAAAGAACTTATTGGAATTAGAGAATAAACTGACCATGCAAGTATGTCCCTCCATTTGGCTGTCACCAGTGCTCATCTGCCAGTCACCAGTGCTCATCTGCCAACCAAACATTTCCTTGCGTCCCACTGTGGCAACTGTCCTTTTAGGATTCAAGCCCACAGTTAAGGCTGGTCTGTTAGATTAACAACAACAAAAATAGAGCACTGTCGTCATTCGGCCCTTTATACCTCCCTAAATTTCTTAACACCTGAATAAGTCCAAATACAGGATAGCTGATTAAGCTTTCAACCCTGAGGATGGGTGATTCAAAAACACTAAAGGCATCAAATTAGACTGTGTATTTCTCCTCAAAATATATTTTCAAAACTCAGAATTCAGAAGTCTGGTACTTTTGGAAATTCCTTTGCTTGAGTTTCCCAGATTTTTGCTCAGAAATTGCTACTATGTATTATAAATGTTTAAAAAAATTCTTCATCTTAATGCAAATGACCAGAGCAGAAAAACTGACGTGGACAACAGGTTGGAAAACCCAAATCACTTAGCTTATAAGTGTATAATGTAATCCTGGAGGACAACTGTCTGTTAGTCTAGAGGTATCCTTTTTCCTACTGTCAGTCCTTTGGTGAGGAATCAAGTTTTGATGACCTTTAAATCCTGAATGAGTGGTGAGTATAGGATGTCAAAATAAACCACATAAAAACTTCCTGTCTTAGACAAAAGTTCAGTACTTTTTGCCAGTGTTTGAATAGTAGATCCTAGATCATGTTTTTAGGTTTTGTTTTGTTTTGCTAGATTAAAAAAATGATGCTTCTGCATTTAACTTCATCCCTGGTTGATTGTAATGCTCTTTATGGAAGGAAGTTAGGCAAATCATTGTAATGCTCTTTACGGTCACTGAAAAAACCCAGTGCCAGGTGGGTCGGTTTGGACACAAGTTTTGAGGTTTTGGACTTAAATAATGAGCCATAGATCTTAGAAGTCTGATTATATACCACATGAGGATCCTACTGCAGGCATCTCTCCCTCCATCTCTGCCACTTCTGTCTCTGTACTGTACTTAGTAATGGAAGACAAGAACAGAAAAGAAAGCAAGAAGTTTACTAGATTGCTAATTCCCTACAAATCCTATTCTTGGTCACAGGGGAAATGATAAAGAAGACAATGAAAAGGGTCCAAATTCAGCACATTTTTCTTGTCATCAGAATTTGAGGAACATTCATGTCACTTCTAAGCTAACACATTACTCCAGACACAGAAAGTATCGTGAAATTACCTCGGATGCTGGTAATTACCTCGGAGCTGGAAATTACCTTGGAACTTGCTTCCTTAAAAACTGTTTAAGACAAGTAATTGTCTTTTTTTAAGAAAAAACACCCACAGTCTTCACAATATCCCCAAATAGTTTGTTTTCTGGTTTAATAACCTTAGAAACCAAGTAATATCTTATACTTTATTTTGTCCTCTGACTATAATTTGGTTTTTGTGGCTTGGTGTGCTGGCCCACCATATTTTTGTACCTTCCTCACATATAAATCAAGAGAGTTTTGCCATTTGGGGTATTTACAAAAGATGATTCTCTGCATCTGGCCTCAGAGTTCAGAAAGCTAGCAGTTTTAACTGTGGATTTTGTACCAAAAAAAGTTTAAAATTGAGTCAATCCATGAAGGGTTTAGGCTGTTTCTCTTTGAATCCTGTGATTATTGCAGAAGAAAAGTGATTCGTTTTCTTTTTTAGATTAATTTTCCACACAACGGATGATCATTAATAGTTTTTTATTATTTTTTTGCGGTACGCGGGCCTCTTACTGTTGTGGCCTCTCCTGTTGCGGAGCACAGGCTCCGGACGCGCAGGCTCAGCGGCCATGGCTCACGGGCCCAGCCGCTCCGCGGCATGTGGGATCTTCCCAGACCAGGGCTCGAACCCGTGTCCCCTGCATCGGCAGGCAGACTCTCAACCACTGCACCACCAGGGAAGCCCTTTAATAGTTTTTTATATTAGGCTGTTTTGCTCTTTCCTGGCTGAGTCTGGGTCCTGCTGCCCCCTGTCCCCTTCATTTGTTTTCATTGTTGTGCTCTGTCTTGTATCATAATACCCTTTGAAGTTGTGGAGACAAGTGCTCCATTCAGGGGACACACAAGCGCCTAACCTGTGCCAAGAATAGAGGGGAGTTAGATACGTGACTCTAAATGGTGGGATTTGGGGAGTCCCCGGGGCACGGGCAGGGGCTATGGAACCTGCTTGGGGCAGTGTCTCTGTGGCGTTTGCTGCCCATGGTGTCCCTGCGTGTGGCACGGAGGACCTACATAGCCGTGTGCATTTTTCAGGCTTTTAGGAACTTCTGAACCGTGAGTCTGGTCTTGGCTTCTACAGTGTGATGATCCCAGTTCTTCTCAAAGGGTCCTTTGAGTCACTGCTCTTTGACCCTTCTGGGTCACTCGTCACCTCAGCCTTTTCCACTCTCTCGCTTTGTATCCATGAATCCTCAAATGTGTCCAGGACTTAGGAGAAGCTTCTGTCATATGTCAGGGGCTGCGGTGAGCGTTTCTATTCCCTGCCTGAGAAGCCTCTCACTGGTGGCACCGCGTGGGCCCCCAGGGCATTTTCTTCCCTTTGGGCCGTCTTCCTAGTTCTGGTTTCTGACTGACGCTATTTTTGTCTCATAGGGTGCCACCTGTGGAAATGAAGAAGAGAAATAAGATCCAGCCTTGTTTATCAAAGCCAGCTTTTGCCTCTCTCCTGAGGTAAAAATACAAAAGAAACTGTGGCACACAAAATGTTCAAAATGTGTTTGTAATCATTCTCCACACTTGTTTGCTTTTTTTCATGCAAATCTTAGCAGTATAAGTACATAATATGGTTATCCTACATTTAAGGAAGAGCTTGACTATCCTGTGTCTTTTTGTGCTTTTAGTCAGAACTCTGCATGTATTTTAAGAAAAGGCATTGAAGAACTCAGTCAGACCAGTATTCTTTTCACACAGGTGAGATTAGAGAGGTCTGTTTGTGTTTGATCATAAAAGAGTGCACTCTCCTTTTAGGGTTTTCTTTCCCCACCCTTGTTCCCATGTTATTTTCCACCCTTGTTATTTTTATTTAACTTCTAGGTTAAAGTTTACAGTAGATATTTTCCTTTCACAGACTTTTAATGAACTACATAGATTGTAAATAATGATTGTTCATTATGGTTGTCAGGACTTGTAGAGAATTTACTCTTCCATCCATAAATATTCTTTTTCTTTGTCACCACTGCTTTGATAGAGTGCTGCTCAAAATGCTTCCAGATTAATAGAAATCAATGACAGTCGGGTCTGGGCATGTTGAAGTGTGTAAAACACATACAAGCTTTTCAGCATTTTATCTTTTAAGGATCTAAAATTAACATCGTCTTTTCTTATTTTCTTTTATCGTATTACTGTATCTCTCCATGACTGGTTCTTAACCTTTTGGAGCTACAGGTCCCTTTAAAAATCAGGCAACCTTCTGGAAAACTTTAGATACATAAAATATTTTTACATATGACTACAGGTGTGCCGTGGCTGCTTGTAGTCAATCTGTGGGTGTGTGTCCAGTTAGGATCACTGCAAAGCTAGAAGATTGATGTTAAACTTTTTTTTTTTTTTTTTTTTACCATGACCCCATATTAAGAAATACATTTTGCTTTGGAACTTAGTATCCATACATATTTATAATAAAAAAAAAGAATTTTTACCTTTCCTACTCCAGATACCCTGTATTCTGTTCTATTCACTTTTTAAAAATGAGCTGACCATGACTCGCAAAATTGACTTCATGAGCCACCTATGGGTTGCAGACTGCAGCTTCAAAGCGCTACTCTAGAATCAAGGTACTCTTCAGCTTTCGAGAGAAAAGGCGTTTTCTTTCTGAGAAACCCCAAAGGGGTTAAAGTATTTATGAAAGATTGCTCAGCAGGTGTGTAAGTCTGCACATTTGTCACGTGAATAGTATTCCCTGGAGGCAGAGCTCCCTCCTTTGCAGTAGCCATCAGGAGAAGCTCTGCTGGGAAACCTGGCGGAGTTACCTGCAGTGCTATGGAGAGGACACCTTTCCTTAGCATTGAGCTTGGGTGTGGTTTCATCTTTGTCAGGTATGGGTTAGTGACTCCAGATAATAGTTACTTCACTTTTATAGCTTCGGTTTCTTTGTCTCGTCGACTGAAAAAAGAAAATGCACAGCCTAAAAGTTGAGAATGTTTTATTTGGGGACCTTACTGAGGACTGTAGCCTGGGATGGCAGCCTCTCAGATGGCTCTGAGGAACAGTTCCAAAGAGGTAAGGGAGGAAATATTGGAGTCTTTGCTGAAAAAGACAAACAGACATGTAGTCATGTTGCGGGAAAGGAGACCCTTTCCAGAGTCCTATAGTGAGCTCTTGTGTAACACTCGGAAATGAATTGTCTGAGAAGACACACGTGCTGACAAAGCAAGAGACGTTATTGCGAAGGGGCGCCGGGGCGGAGAGCAGCAGGGTAAGGGAACCCAGGAGGATTGCTCTGCCACGTTGCTCGCAGTCTCGGGTTTTATGGTAATGGGGTTAGTTTCCGGGTTGTCTCTGGCCAATCATTCGGACTCAGGGTCCTTTCTCGTGGTGCACGCATCACTCAGCCAAGATGGATTCCAGCGAGGAGGATTCTGAGAGGTTGGTAGGACACGTGGACTGGCGTCTCCTCTGTCTTTTTGACCTTTCCCGAATTCTTCCGGTTGGTGGTGGCTCATTAGTTCCGTGTTCCTTACCAGGACTTCCTGTCGTAAAATAACTCATGCAAATTGTTACTGTGTTTGCCTGGTCAGGGCAGGCGGTTTCAGTCAGTGTTTCCCTTAACAGTCAGGTATCAAAAGATGACTGCTAATCACAAAAAAGCAGACATCTCAAGTTAATGATTTTACTGCTTCTCTATGAATAGGAGGATGCAGGAGTCTGGGCTTATTGAAATTATTCCTTTTGATATGCACCTTAACTATCTAGGGGCAGCATCCTGTTTTTCTCCACCATGTATCCCCCTCGGGGTGTACCATCTGGGGCGGCTGCAGTGAGCTGAAGGGTTGCCGGCCTCAACATACTTTGTTTACTGGAATGGCAGGCCACATTTTTTTTCCCACAGTCTAAATTGGTTAGTAGAATTTACCTTCCTTTCCAGGCTTTTGTAGGAGTAACAACAGCAAAGATGATCATTATAATGTAATATAACATACTGTAACATAATACGATGTAATATGTAATTATTACAGATAAGGCGGATACTTATTGAGCCCCTACTCTGTGTGAGACATGGAGTTATCCACTGAAAAAAAAAAAAAGCACAACCTAAAAGTTGAGAATTATGTTTTATTTGGGATGTTACTGAGGACTTAATCCTGGGATACAGCCTCTCAGATAGCTCTGAGGGACTGTTCCAAAGAAGGAGGAGCCAGGATTTATAGGAGTTTTGGGAAACCAAAAAACAGGGAGTCGAACATCAAAAGATTACTGCTGGACTTCCCTGGTGGCGCAATGTTTAAGAATCTGCCTGCCAGTGCAGGGGACACGGGTTCAAGCCCTGGTCCAGGAAGATCCCACATGCCACGGAGCAACTAACCCGTGCACCACGACTACTGAGCCTGCGCTCTAGAGCCCACGAGCCACAACTACTGAGCCCATGAGCCACAACTACTGAGCCTGTGCTCTAGAGCCCATGCTCCACAACAAGAGAAGCCACTGCAATGAGAAGCCTGCAACGAAGAGTAGCCCCTGCTCACTGCAACTAGAGAAAGCCCATGCGCAGCAATGAAGACCCAACGCAGCCAAAAATAAATAAATTAAATAAATTAAATTTAAAAAAAAGATTACTGCTAATTAAAGAAAAACCAGACATCCGAAGATAATGAATTTACCCCTTTTCTATGTGTGGGAAGATGCAAGAAACTGTATTATTGGAATTATTCCTTTGATACGCACCTCAGCGATCTGGGCCCAGTATCCGGTTTTCCTTCCTCCTGAATTCCCCTCAGGGTGCACAGTTGGGGGGCGGCTGCAGTAGCCGAAGGCTTGATGGGCTTCAACATCTTTTGTTTACTGAAATGGCAGGCCACGTCCTTTGCCACAGTGCTTGACAGTTATTTCATTTAGAAATAAAATGTAAGTCACCTAGTACAAGGTCTGACTGGCAGTAGATGTTAATCATCAGTTACCATCATTATCACTCCCACCAACTCTGAAGAATAGCGTCCTTTATTGCTTTCACCTCAAGATGCAAAGTCTTCTGTGGTTTACTTTCCCAAGGAAGCCTGGGAAGATCTTGAATCTCCTCTCAATCTTAAGTCAGGTGACCTGACACTTCCTCTTCCCAGAGCAGATCCTAAGCTTAGGGATCAACCCTGATACAGATGATGACCTTTTGAAGTTGGCTGGACCCCTGAGGCTGCTAACACTTGTCACAACTGAATCTAGCACACACACCCCTCTCGAGTAGGAAGGGCTAGTTTCTCACCTCTTTGCTTAGTCTGAATATGGTATAAGTTCTTAGCTCAGCTCTAAAGATCTTGAGCTCCTGTGACTTGCCAAGGTTAGTGATTCCTGGGTAGCAAAGCCAGGATCAAGCTGAAGCTAATTTGTTCCTACTCCACTGCTGTTTATTTCCATTTTGTCATGCAGCCTCTGAAACGCCAGGGGCGCTCTGATCTCCAGCTGCAATTTTTATACTAAGGAAGAACAAAACTGATAAGGCCGGAAAGAAGGGGCCATGTGTTGGGGATGGGATAGGGTTAGCTTAACTTGCTCTGCAGTACCTAGTCCTGGTAGGTGGAAATGGCATTTTAATATGTGCTTTACCTCTTCCTTATCTCTTTTTTTTTTTTTTTTTTTTTTGGATGTGGACGTTTTCAAAGTCTTTATTGAATTTGTTACAATATTGCTTCTGTTTTATGTTTTGGTTTTTTGGCTCGGAGGCATGTGGGAATCTTAGCTCCCTGACCAGGGATTGAACCCTCACCCCCTGCACTGGAAGGCGAAGTCTTAACCACTGGACCACAAGGGAAATCCCTGTTCCTTCTCTTTAATTAAAAAAACTTATTTCTTTCTACTTCATAATGGTCCCATAAGGAATTAGTTTGGAGTTGAAATTCATTCAGTCATTTCTTAAATGTATGTTGTCTGCCTACTCTGTGCCAGGAGCTGAAAGTGAGGGAAAAAACAGAGGTGCCTCATCAAACATTGTTGTTTGAGAGAGTACCCGAGTGGAGCAGGGGGGCAGGACAGGCAACAAGAAGACAAATATCCGTAGTTCTTGTTCTTGAGTAAATTTTAATTTAATGACCTCAGGAAAGAGTTCAGTTCTAGCTACCTCTAACCTTCAGTGGGTTCTTATTTTCACAGCCGACAACAGCTTTATGGTACCTTTTCTTTTGGGAGTGGATCAGCATCTGTACTTTTACTTTCCCTTATTTCTTCCTTTGTCTCTTGCTGTAGATGGCTGTCACTGGTGTTTGCTGGTTTTTAAATTTTGTGCCCCCCCTACTCCCCACCCAAAGCTATTACATAATTTTGGTTTTACTACTTGGAAGGCGTTTCCCTTCCGGGTGTGTAGTTCCAGTGCACATCCCATTCTAGGTAATATTTAAATACTGTTTAAGATGATTTTTTTTTTTTTTTTTTTTTTTTTTTGG